TCTGAAAGATTAAAGTAACATTTGGCTTTTCTAGCCTTAATCCATGCAAAAGAGCGCAATTGAATAAGTTCAAACAGTTTGGCCCAGTTTACCTTCAAATTCTGGAAAATCTTCCCATTTCGGGCCATCCATACTGACCAAATAAATGAGTTCCATATGCAATCCCACCCTTCTGAAATTCGTGAGCTTGTGGTCCATGCACCAAAATTTTGAAATGTTTTCCAACAATCCTTGTGTAACGTGACAGTGATCCCCCACCAATTTGCACATGCTTGCCACAACCTTCTAGCAATACTGCAATTCAAGAACAGATGGTTAGAGTCCTCATCCTCATTGTCACACAGAACACACTTTCTTTCTCCTGTATCTTTGACAATTCCTCTTTTGAGCAAGTTTGTCTTGGTTGGAATTCTGTCCAGCATTACTTTCCAGTTGAAAGCTGCAACTTTACTTGGGAGCATCTTGCTCCATATTCTTTTGAAAATTTCAGCTTCCTCCGGTTCTCTTCTTTGTTTTACTAACTCCAAGTAAGCTGTTTTTGTTGAGTATTGACCATCGTTGCTATGAATCCATTCCCATTTGTCCGGTTGGCCAGGTGTGATCGTCACATTCTCAATCATCCTTTTAAGTTCCTTTGCGTCCTCCTCTTCCCACTCGAACAAAGTTCTTCTCCATGCAAGGTTCCATTTCCATGTGCCGTTGACGTTTTGGCCCATTTGGTGGCATTTGTTTTCCTTTCCTGTTGATAAGAGATATAATCTAGGAAATTTGTTAGCCAAGCAAACCTCCCCGCACCACTCATCCCACCAGAAACTCCCAAGTAATTTAATAAAATTTTATTTTAATTGCAAACTTTACTTATTAAAATTATAAATGATAGTAAAAGATTTTTAATCTTATATTTTCGGACATAATTTATATCTATATGTACCACTTGAACCTATCTCAAAATTTGATCCCTAATGATTCTAAATTTAGTTCTAAGTCGGTCCCTCTACTCAAAAATAGATGATATTTCCCGTTACTAATATAATATGTGTTACTAATATAATATGTGACTGTTAAATAATGGTCTTCTATTATCAAATAACGGACATGTTAATTATTTTTTTAATAGAAGGATCAATTTGGAGCTAAATTCAAACTTTAAAAGGAATAAATCAAGAATTTTTTCTTTTTTAATTCAATAACCAATTCAAAGATTCGTATAATAGTTGATGAATCAAATTGAGAGTTAAACCATTATTTAATGCCCAAGCTTAGAAAAATGAATGTCATGAATTTAGAGTTCAATTCTCCCCTTTAACGTGTAACCTACTCCCCTCCACTAATATTTGGTTCATATTTTTTTATAAAAAAATCATGTGAAAATTATTGAAAAGCAATAAGCTTAAAATACCCTTTCTTTTTCTATGCCTCACTCTTGATAATTACAATCAAATCAACAACCCCATATTTAAAAATGGAAAAACAGGGATTGTGTTTACAATGGATTTAATTACAGGCTACACATAAATGCTTCTCATGAACTGCAACATCTAGGAGATTTGAGAGATTCCACTTGAGATTTGCCTTGGGGACCCCTTGTTCTGATGAAAAGCCGGTATTCGTCAAAGGTCATCGGAGGATATAATGCCGGCTTATCCGGCGCAACTAGATCTTTAATTGGCTCAATTGGAATATCACTCTTTGGATTATAGAAGAATGCAAGGGACACCCTTTCATGTGCTGAATTCACAATCACTCTGTGCTCCACGCTCTTGTAGTTTGCATTACTCAGTACCTCCATAATTAACCATCACAAAACAAAATGCAAATTAAACTGAAATCTAAAATGCATTAAAATTGATTCATTAAAAATATTAAAGATTAGAAATGTAAAAAAAAAAAATCTGATTTCTATAGTAATTGAACAAATTAGAATAATCCCCATAATAGTTGAAAAACAAACCGAATGCAGTCTAGGTTGGATTAGGTCACTGTAAATTGCAAAAATTAAATAAATTGAGTCAAAACTGAAATAATAAATAACTACTTATTATAGAATTGTCACTATCTACATAAGTTGCGGTTAAACCAAGGTTTTTTTTTTTTTTCTTTGAACTTCAGAAAATTTTAGGAATGGGGGATATAAGTAGTGATGAGTATAAAATTTAAGATTTTATGTTCAAACACTTTTTTTAAAAAAATGGTTATTAAACTATTTAACATTCGACGCTGATAAACTAGGTTAGATTAAATAAATTTTTGAGTAAAAAGCAACTGTTATTTTTATAGCCCTAAGTCCAGTTAGTTGACAAATTACCCGAATTTTACTAGTTCCACGGCATGATGGAAATTAAAAGACTTAACCTGTGACTAGGGGATGTCAGTGTCAACGCAAACTTTTTAACTCACGGATGCTATTTATTATCCCTAAATATTTATTGTTATTTTTTTAATATAATTATTTATTATATTTTTATATTATAAATTTTTTAAAATTTTAAGTTTTCTTTTTACTTTTTAATAAATTAAATAATATAATTAA